AAAAGAGGAGGAAAAATGTCGGTCGATTTCCCTATTCTCCATGGAAGAAAAGGGTATAAAATTAATTTTCCATAGGTGAGAAAATCGCTAAAATAAAAAACTTTCTATATTCTTGGATTTTCTATGTCCCACAGGTGATAAAGTCATTAAAACATACAATTTTCTAATTTCTTCACGAACAGAAATTTGAATTTTTTTTTTCAATTTACACAACTGAAGAAAGGAGGGAAAAGACGATTTTCCATGTTCCCCAAGGAAGAAAAGCATGTAAGAAAATTAATGTTTTGTTCCTCAGGTGATAAAGTCGTTAAAAAGTCATTTTTTAATGTTCTTCACGGAATAGAGAAGTAAAAGTTCTAATTTAATGTTCCCTTCAGAACATAGAAAAGAAAAGATCTATTTTTCATGATCCCACAAAAGAAAAGGGTTCTTCACGAAATAGACATTTTAAAGTTCTTTTTTTCATGTTACACACGGAAGAAAGAGGTAAAAGTCCATATTCCATGTTCCCCACAGTAAAGAGGAGGGAAAAAGTCGTTAAAATAGAAAACTTTCTATGTTCTTCGATTTTCCATGTTGCCCACAAGAGAAAAAGGTACAACAAAATTAATTTTCTATGTTTCACAGGTGATAAAGTCGTTAAAACAAACAATTTTCCTCTTTTTTCATGGAACTTAAATTTTAAATTTCTTTTTCCATGTTCCCCAATAAAAAAAAATGGAAAAGTCGATTTTCCATGTTCCCCAGGGAAGAAAAGGTATAACAAAATTAATTTCCTATGTTCCACAAGCGAAAAGGTCGATAAAAAACGCAATTTTCCATGTTTTTCACGCAATAGAGATTTTAAAGTTAGTTTTCATATTTCACGTTCCCTATAGGAGAGAAAATTCACAATTTTCATGTTATTAACAGAATAGGGAGGAAGGAAAATCGACAATTTTCCATGTTATTAATGGAATAGACATGTAAAAGTTCTTTTTGCATGTCACCCAAGGAGGAAAGGTAAAAAGTTCACATTTCATATTCCCCACAGAAAGGAGGTAGGAAAAAGTAGATTTTCCATATTTTCCACGGAAGGAAAAGGTAAAACAATTGTTTTTTACGTTACCTATTAGAAATAAGTTAAATGTTCATTTTCCCTGTTCTGCATGTTACAAAGTTGTTAAAAAAGACAATTTTCTATGTTCAAAAGAGAGGTAAAAAGTCTATATTCCATGTTCCTCACGGAAAAGAGGAGGGAAAATGTCGATTTTTCATATAAGAAAAAGGCAAGAGCTGTAAAAAATACAAGTTTACATGTTCTACGAGGAATAGGAAAATGAAAAAGTTAATCTTCCATGTTCCCCAAAGAAAAATTAGTGAAAAAGTCATATGAATTTTCTATTCTCTAATGGAGAAAGAGGTCAAAAGGGCAATGTTCACTGTTCCCCAAATGAGAAAGTTGTAAAAATGCAATTTTCCACGAAATAGGCATCGAAAGGGAGGAGTAAAAAAGTCAATTTTATATGTTATTTACGAGAGAATGGCAAAAAGTAAATGTTCAATGTTCCCAAGGCAGCAAGAGTAAAAAAAACTAATTTTCCACGTTTCAACGAGAGAAAGAGATTAATAAGGACATGTACAATATTCCCATCTGTACTGAGTGGTAAAAAGTATTTATTTTTCCCATTCCCAAGGAATATAGAGTAAAAAAGTTGATTTTTAATGTTCCCCATATCATTTTTCTTCCTCAAAAACAAAATCATACAATTATTTCTATTATTCAAAGAGTGATATATCTATCAAATTCTGTTTTCCATCTCTATCGATTATCATTTTGTGCAGACTTTACAGCAGAATCAATATTTTATATAATATCTCCTATTGAACATTTACTTTATAGATGAATTTCTATTTACGTATATCCTATGAAGCTCAAATGTTTGCATGCACTAAATAAAGTACTATACTGTGTTTGAGGACAGGTACAATATATACTTTTCAAATGACCCAATATATATTTCAGAAATATTGGAACATTCAACAGTGTGCTTTAATTCTTCTATACTAATGTAAATCCTATATTAAACAAATCACTAATATCAAAATAGTTCTATCCCAATTTAGGAAGATCAGATCATAAATTCTTGAAATTTTGGCTTGACTGTTCAAGAGCTGCACTGTCATTATGTTTAGAACTAGATTGGAGAATCGGTTCAGTAGTGGAAATAGAGTTTTAGGGAAGAATGAGGGAAAGTAAAATAAGTTTAGGATTAAAATAACCCTGTCAGACTATTTTAAGCAACTAGGGGTCTATTCTGTAACGATTCTTTTATATTTTAATAGTTCAAAAGGGATTCCTATAAAAATTATTTTTAACGGAATTTTAAAAGGTTCTTTCATTCGCTGTTGGTGCAGTGTGCACCGGTGTTAATTACACCTACTTATTTACCTAGTTTACTTTCCTCCTTATTTTTTTATACACATATCGAGAGTAATTCACTCCTGCTAAGTAGCTAGTGGAGAAAATATCCACCAGTGGACACCACATCACCAGCAGGAAGGTATAGTGGATTTTACACCATTCCAAACGAAAAGTTTGGTGTAGTTCATTCCTAACCCAGTGGGACGAACGAAAGAATCTAAAATGTACCTTTAATTTTTGACATAAAATAAAATGATGTAATTAGAGACGTTTTGATTAAAGAAGTACTGGAAAATTAAGAAAGATTTGAAAAACAGTTTTAATGTAAAGCAAATACGTTTAATATTTCAGGGCAACATTTAGATTACATCGAAGGTCAATTAGATACTCAAGCGAGCCGTTTTAATTGCCAAATTTATATTTTAAAAATCATTTTTAGATTTAAAAAAAAATATCAGAATTGTAATTAAATTGTTTGGTTATGTTAGCCTTTCTTCTTTTTATTTTCTTAAACGGACTGCGTCCATACGTAACTTAGGTCAAAATTAGTTCAAATGAATCGTAACAGTCTTGGAACTTGGAAAGGCTTTTTACAGTTCTTCCACTTCATACACATAAATTGACAGGTTTGCCGCGATCTAACCGAAGTGGACACGATACATTGGCGTACTAAATTATTTTATAGATGTTAATAAAAATTTCGAGTAAATAGTTTAATAAAATGTGAATAGCTGTTAAAATTTTGTAGAATTATGATTTTAATATTATAATACATGTTTAATAATGATTTATAGTCCATAAATCACTAATCAATGCGACGTTGTCAATTCCTCTAAAAACTGTGGATACAGAATATCATTTTCAATTAAAAAAATTAACGAGCGACAAAAAGTTAAATTTTTAAAGGATGTTTTACAGAATAGACCCCATAGATTGTTGTAATCATTACTAGTTTTCAATTTCAACAATCTAGCAAAATAGTTGATTAAATGGGGCGCCGCAGATTTGATTCGTATGGTAGACAATAATGGAGTTAAAAAAACACCTGTTGGAATGTTTAGTACTAAAACGTTAGGCAGTGAAATTATAAGCCTTGAGAAATTTTAATATCAGTCCAAATAATGTCATGGTTATGCAGAGATTAAAAATTTTCAAAAACAAATCGATAGTTATAAATCTAAGGTAATATAAAAATGTTAGTAAAAAAATAATAAATATTCGAAAATATTTTACACAGTGCGTTTTTGGTTATTTGGTACAGATCAACAATGTTTTTACTGAAAAGTACTATAAAATTGTATCGATTTATACGAGGTAATCGAGAATAATCGATTACTCAAAATGAATCGATTTCATTTGAGGAACTTGTGACATATTGTAATATTTGTACGTTTTTTCTTTTTCTCAATAACCCCTATATTAAATCTGATAAATCGTATTCATAGTATTTTCCATACTACACCTAATACTTATCAACTAATAATAGAATATAAACACTGAACGCATTTAGACTAAGCAATTAACATACGAAACGGTTCAGAAATATCCCAAGTCCTAAAACGACGACCGCAGAATGTTTCTGAACCCTCAGTATATCACATAAATATGGCACAAACATCAAAGAAATGTAATCTAAATAGAGATGATCTATTTACATTTCCGCTTAGTAGTAAAATGTCTCATAGAATATATAATTTGTTTTTTTCATTTAAACTTATTACGCGATAAAGCTTTTTTCAGACGATAAACATAGAGAATTACAGCGATGTTATAATATCTGTGTTTTGATTAAACATAATTTAATATATAGAAACCAATAAATAAATATTTTATTGATAAGACAGGTCAATAATTAAACATTTCGTAGTAAAAACATTAAAATGAACAACTGGGATGTAGGATAGCTGACGAAAATGCACTAACTTTTTGGGGACTTGATACTCAAGTTGTTTACAATATTGGTCGTTGTGATTTGTTAATCATTTTACGGATTATTAAGTTAGAGATAGGTTTTGTAGTCGTTTCACCTTGTTTACGTGTCAAGAAAAATGCCAACAGGATTGACTTACAGTATGACCTACTCAACATTCCGAAAGTGTTTATATAGCGTATTGACCAAAATAGAATTATAAACAGAGGAATTAAACGCATAAGTCACTCAAAATGATGGTGGGTGAGGTTTTCCTCACCTGTAAGTCAAATGGGACCATCAATCATCTTTAAATCGCCCCGGAGCGTCAAGGCAAATAAAATAGCCGTTTCTTCTCCCACATAAGCTATGGATACTGATTAGCAACGTATTTACGAATTGTTGGTTTTTATGTTAACATATGTTTAATCAAAATGGCAGATGGGGGTAAAAATAATACCAGATCTTTGACTAATAATGTCCACGTGGAAGCTAGATTAATAAATTAAAAATACATGGTTAATAAAAAAACTTTCTTTTCAATATTTGTTAAATGAATTTTAGACAATACGTGAGTAAGTTTAAAAATATTTGAGTTACATAAACTTTTTTGAAAACCATACAACCTGCATTCCATAGTAAATTTTCTATCATAAAATATGACGCGCTTTTGACATTAGTTTTTCCCCGTATTTTTGTTCTGTCATCAGATATTTAACTAATTCTCTAGTATTTTATGGTCCATTTGTACATATAAATCTTTGAACGAATTAAAAAAAGAAAAAAAATTGTTTAGCTGATTTTCAAATTAGCGACAGTATATTTTTAAAAAGATTGTCGCCAATTTATAACCCGATTTATTTGGCACATTGAGCATTTAAAATATCAGTCGTTTCATCTGGAATTCGTATTTAAAACATTTATATATAAAAAAAATAACCCCAAAAATAATCTTTAATATGTGCGAATAAAAATACTGGACAGGTTAAACTTATTAGGCCATTTCATAAGACTTTAATTACCTCAAAAAAAAATACCATTTAATTTTCGAATAATGTCAACTTGATTTAAAAATCAGCCAAACAAACTAGATGCCCAAATTAAAAGGTTTAAGCTTTGTATCGGTGCGACCGATTCATCGAACATGCCAAAATTAAACCCAAAATCAGACCTAGGAGTTGAATTCCTAGTATGACTCCACCAGCGATCAATATGATGCAGCAACTCTCCTTCAATTTTTCGTAGATCATCGTGTAACAGCCGTTATCGTAGATGAATCTTCTATTTGGTTCGCTGCCGACCTTCATACATAGAAGAAACAAGAAGATGAATAAAAATTAGATTTACAGAACATACTATGTAGTAATACAAACAATGTAGAGTATGGTTTGCCATAATAGTTAAACATTAAAAAAATATGAGTATTTTTGAAAGAGTAAAACCAAATTTGGTAGATTTTCACACTTTTATTTTAAAAATTAAAATTAAAAAAAAAAAAAAACACTAACATGACATATGTTTCGAAGTACAACTTCTTTTTCAAATGTGACTATTTACAATTCGGTATCCAATATATATACGAAATAATTTAAATTAAATTAAATTTATGAATTAACAGAAAAATTAAAAAACATTAAATTACCTAGTAACACAAAATTAGTATCGTTCGATGTAACAAACTTATTTCCTAGTATACCTCCTAAAGAAACAGTCAAGCTAGTAGAAAACTTATTAGATCGTAATCAAGTCAATATTATAATCAAAGAAGAAATCCTAAATTTGTTAAACATTTGCCTAAAACAAAATTATTTTCAATTTCAAAATAACATCTACTCAGCAAATGAAGGTCTTATTATGGGGAACCCATTAAGCCCGTTGCTTGCAGAAATATTTATGGATAATATAGAAAATAAAATTCATAGCAATAATTTAAGTAAACATTGTCTGTATTGGCATAGATATGTTGATGATATATTGACTGCTTTTACTGGTACTAGTAGACAGTTAAATTCTTTATTAGTTTTTATCAATACTATACACCCTAATATTAAATTTACTATGGAAACAGAGAAGGATAATTCAATTAATTTTTTAGACTTAAATATTATTAAAAATAATAAAGGCCATAGTTTTGGGATATTTCATAAGCCATCACATACGGATATTACAATAAATAATAGTTCATCTCATCCATACAAACAAAAGCTGGCAGCATACAACAGTATGATCCATAGATTAGTTAATATTCCCCTTACCAAAGAGAACTTCACAAAAGAATTAAATATCATTAAACAAATCGCAGTAAATAATAATTTTAATTCAAAGTTAGTAGACAACATTTTAGAGAAAAAACTTTTTAAACAGGCTATTCAACAAGTTTATCCCATAATTAAAGATCCAAATTGCAGATATAAGAGTCTTACATATATAGGAGCTCCTAGTGAAAAGGTATCATCATATTTAAAAAACCAAAATATTAACGTAGCTTTTAAAACCAATAATACGCTTGGGAAGTATATTAAAAACAATAAGGGTAAAATTATACCTAATAATAAATCGGGGGTATATAAATTAAATTGTGGTAGTTGTCCAAAATTGTATATTGGTCAAACAGGCCGTACTTTCAAAAAACGCTATTCCGAACATTATAATAGCTATACAAAAAACAAAAATAATTCTACTTACTCAAATCATATTTTAGCTGAAAATCATTCTTTTACAGACAACTTTGAAATTTTACATGTAGAAAATAAGAGCCTTAAATTAAACCATTTAGAAACACTTGAAATAAATAGATTTAAAAATTCAGATAACTTACTAAATGATCAATTAGATATTAATAATTCACCCTTATTAAATCTCTTTCCCAGTTTTCTGTGAGATAATCCCGGTAATGGGCTATCTTATTGTTATCTGATGGATATTATAATTACCTAAGTACCCTTATTTACTTTAAATAGTTAGTTTATTTTGTAATGTTATTGATGTTTTCTTAAGTACTTTGTTTTGTTAAATTATTTCGTATATATATTGGATACCGAATTGTAAATAGTCACATATGAAAAAGAAGTTGTACTTCGAAACATATGTCATGTTAGTGTTTTTTTTTTTTTAATTTTTATTTTTAAAATAAAAGTGTGAAAATCTACCAAATTTGGTTTTACTCTTTCAAAATTAAATGGATTTTCATCAAGTAAAGGCCGAAACAATAAATAAATATGAGTATAATAGAGCTAACATGTAAAAATGTGACATTTTAAAAAATGATGATCGATTAAATGCTTTTTTAGAAGTATTAGGCAACAATTTATTCTGGGTTAAATTTTGGAATTGATTGAGAGCTAAGTGAATTCATTATTAAAGTTTTAATAATTAATTTCTAATTATTTTTGTTAATTTCGACTCACTAATTCTCCGAGACCCCTCGTATTCAATTTTTAGATGTCCATCGGTGTCTGAAAGTCACGACGAAGACGGTCGTTTGTGCTAATTTGTTTGTTAAAATTATCTAAAGCGATAGTGCGTGTGCTTGGTGCCATAATTGTAAGGTCAAAATTTGATTTATTATCTATTTTAATGTAATTTAACTATTTTTTTTCTACTGGGTGCCTTTAGGACACGAATGTGGCCATTCTGCAAGGACGCTACTGCGCGTTAATGTTAATAGAAAACTGCTTTTGATGTTACTTATAGTAAGACTTGAAGGTCTATTGCAAACGTACTTTTTGTTTTTTGTATATTGGTGAAGACATTCTTTTAAATAACTAAAAATTTCTATTTGTTTGCTAAATAAATAAAATATGGTACACCAGCTATGAATCATACAAAACGAGAATGATCACAAGTATTAGAAATTAAAAATTAAAAAAAAACCGACTTCAAAAACGTGCAGATGCCATTAAAGAATTATCGCTGAACATACATAAAAAAAAATTGCAACGAATTGAGAACCTCCGCCTTTTTTGAAGTCGGTTAAAAATTGGGTTTAACCAACACTTAGATTTAGTTTTTTCTTACCTTAACGTCATGTGTAGCAGAGCGGCAATCTTCTGAACTTATTCCTTCGCGGCAACAACTCTCGGGTATATTGTACTGATTCGGATTACCAGAAACGCCCATGTTGTATCCTTTTCCGCGAGTCCAGTCTGTTGCGTGCTCTGCACCGCAGCAGTGCAACTATACAACAAAAACGATTTGTATAGAAGACATTTTTTAATGATTGCTTTTTAGAAAAAAATTACTATAGATAACAGTTTTGCTGGGATAATTTTTAGAAGAGAAAATTAAATAAAAGATAAAAAAATTCCAATTTTTCCTCAAGGGTCTAATAAATTAATTCAAATAAAAAAAAATGTTTAACTTTGATAGAATAAATTTTAAAATAATAATCTGAATGTTCACAATTCCTTTATTAAATTACCTCTAAAAATAGTAACCATTTAAAACTACTAATTATGCACCATTTAACGTCTGTGGCTGTGATATCATCGAATATCAAACCAATTGTACCCGAGACTTCTACTACTATTAATATATATTTTTTTATCAGAAATATACCCACTCAAATGCTGCCAATACATAAACTTGTATAAAAAGATAATGTGGAATGTGATATAAACTTTTTTTTAAGAATTACTGATTAACATTGGTACACATAAATATTTTTACAAAACCTTTAATTATTTAAAAATTTATTCACTGTTGTGGCGCTAGTTAAGTGGCGCTGGGAAGTAGTAACAAAGCTTACACAAAACACACCTTGTATGTAAAAAGAAACTGTAGGAACATATATCTTACCTTGGCTTGAATTGTATCAAACAGTTTTTTGACGTTCTCATCCTTGTCATAGTCATCTCTGACGGAATTTTTGACAGACGCTCGAATGTGTTGTTCCAGATTATCGCGGTTTATGTAGCCCCATACACCGGCCGCTATTTCAGCCACCACAATGATCAACAGCAGGCAGAACGACTAAAAATATTTGGTGATTGAAAACAATCAATTTTTCGCCGACACATCATTTACTTAAAGGCACAACAATTTTTTTATAGTACATTGTGTAATAACTGTTATAAAAAGCATATTACGCACAAATTACGTATTATACTCTAATACGATGTCAACAAATACAATTAGAAGTGATAATCAAAAGGAAATTTTCAAAATTTAAAAACCTAAAAATTTTAAATAAAGATACACCCCTAATTTGATTGTTTTATATTAATTATTGGCGTTCTGTTTAAATGAGATAAATATGGGTAACATTACAAAGTATATACAGGATGTTCTATGATGATGTCCCAATATTTTAGCAGGACATTTAAAATGGGGATTTCTAATAAAATTTTGCAATTTGTGAATTTTTTGTAACGGATTCCCTTGTTTTAAAATGTCAAGATAAATTATTATTATTTTTTTAAATCTAAAAGTGAAATGTCTGCAATTTTCGGTTTTTTTTGGTTAAATATTAAAAATTTACAAGTTTATTAATCTCTTAGGAGACAGAATGCAAAAATTAGTGTAATGAAAACAAATATACCACTGTAACTTCTTGATATATTGATATTAATGATTAAAATTAACACATTAAAAAAATATATTTATTTACCTACTTGTCACTCTTTTGTTTTCAGATTATGATTTTTTTTAATATAATAAAACTCTATTCTTCAAGTTTAACTTTATATTAGTAGTAACTTTTGACATATATGTACTAAAAACCTGTTGATATTTTTCTAATTCTTAGGTTTTTTCCAACCCTGGTGTATAAAAATGTAAAAATCTTACCACAATCAGTGCTTTTCGAATTTCTTGGCCCACGCTGTAGATTCCCAACAGCGAGACAATGAGCAGAATAATGGAGGCCAGAAGAATTATGATCGTCGTTATCAAGTAATCCCTGGATTCTTGTGTAAAATGCAATGGAATCGTTGGGTCGACAAACATCCATATTGATAAGCCTATTCCGGCAACAGAAAGCAGCTGAAACCCACATTGTTAAAAACAATAATTATATTGTGTTATTAAATCATGTATTAATAAATATTATGTCAGTATGTGATTATTTGATTAATCAATGCCAGGAAGCTATTTAAATAATATTTAGGAAAAGACAGTTGTGTGTATAAGGTGATTCAATAAAAAATATAAACTTTACTGAATATAATTTTCAATAATAAATAAATAATAATGGTAAAAATACATAAATTTTATTAAAAAATAGTATTATTTCACAAAAAGAAATAGCAGACAGTAATAAAATTCAAACAATTAAGAAAATCGTGATTTATAGTACTGTATAAAGAAGTCTTCTTTCTAAAACACTATCAGATGAAGATGTTTTCAGGTATAATACTGTAGAGATTAACTTCTAAACCATTATCAGATAAAATGTTTTCAGACATTGTACTGCAGAGTCTTGATTATAAAACACTATCAGGTGAAAATTTTTTCAGGCATAGTTCTGTAGAAATTTTTACTTCTAAAAATATTATCAGGTGAAAATGTTTTCAGACAATACTGTAGAAAGTCTTATTCCTAAACCACTATCAGAAGAAAATATTTTCAGGCATTGCAATGTAGAAACTCTTATTTTTAAAACACTATCAGACAAAAATGTTTTCAGGCATAGTATATAAAATGTTTTATTTCTAAAACACTATGAGGTGAAAATGTTTTCAGGCACTGTAATGTAGAAACTTTTATTTTTAAAACACTATCAAGTGAAAATGTTTTCAGGCATTATATACTGCAGAAAGTCTTGATTGTAAAACACTATCAGGTGAAAATGTTTTCAGGCATAGTTCTGTAGAGATTATTACTTCTAAAAATACCATCAGGTTAAAATGTTTTCAGACAATACTGTAGAAAGTCTTATTCCTAAACCATTATTAGGAGAAAATGTTTTCAGGCATTGCAATGTAGAAACTATTATTTTTAAAACACTATCAACAAAAATGTTTTCAGGCATAGTATATAAAATGTTTTATTTCTAAAACACTATGAGGTGAAAATGTTTTCAGGCATTGTAATGTAGAAACTTTTATTTTTAAAACACTATCAGGTGAAAATGTTTTCAGGCATAGTTCTGTAGAGATTTTTACTTCGAAAAATATTATCAGGTGAAAATGTTTTCAGCCAATACTGTAGAAAGTCTTATTCCTAAACCACTATCAGGAGAAAATATTTTCAGGCATTGCAATGTAGAAACTCTTATTTTTAAAACACTATCAGCCAAAAATGTTTTCAGGCATAGTATATAAAATGTTTTATTTCTAAAACACTATGAGGTGAAAATGTTTTCAGGCACTGTAATGTAGAAACTTTTATTTTTAAAACACTATCAAGTGAAAATGTTTTCAGGCATAGTTCTGTAGAGATTTTTACTTCTAAAAATATTATCAGGTGAAAATGTTTTCAGACAATACTGTAGAAAGTCTTATTCCTAAACCATTATTAGGAGAAAATGTTTTCAGGCATTGCAATGTAGAAACTCTTATTTTTAAAACACTATCAACAAAAATGTTTTCAGGCATAGTATATAAAATGTTTTATTTCTAAAACACTATGAGGTGAAAATGTTTTCAGGCACTGTAATGTAGAAACTTTTATTTTTAAAACACTATCAAGTGAAAATGTTTTCAGGCATAGTTCTGTAGAGATTTTTACTTCTAAAAATATTATCAGGTGAAAATGTTTTCAGACAATACTGTAGAAAGTCTTATTCCTAAACCATTATTAGGAGAAAATGTTTTCAGGCATTGCAATGTAGAAACTCTTATTTTTAAAACACTATCAACAAAAATGTTTTCAGGCATAGTATATAAAATGTTTTATTTCTAAAACACTATGAGGTGAAAATGTTTTCAGGCATTGTAATGTAGAAACTTTTATTTTTAAAACACTATCAGGTGAAAATGTTTTCAGGCATTATACTGCAGAATGTCTTGATTGTAAAACACTATCAGGTGAAAATGTTTTCAGGCATAGTTCTGTAGAAAGTCTTATTCCTAAACCACTATTAGGAGAAAATGTTTTCAGGCATTGCAATGTAGAAACTCTTATTTTTAAAACACTATCAGACAAAAATGTTTTCAGGCATAGTATATAAAATGTTTTATTTCTAAAACACTATGAGGTGAAAATGTTTTCAGGCACTGTAATGTAGAAACTTTTATTTTTAAAACACTATCAAGTGAAAATGTTTTCAGGCATAGTTCTGTAGAGATTTTTACTTCTAAAAATATTATCAGGTGAAAATGTTTTCAGACAATACTGTAGAAAGTCTTATTCCTAAACCATTATTAGGAGAAAATGTTTTCAGGCATTGCAATGTAGAAACTCTTATTTTTAAAACACTATCAACAAAAATGTTTTCAGGCATAGTATATAAAATGTTTTATTTCTAAAACACTATGAGGTGAAAATGTTTTCAGGCATTGTAATGTAGAAACTTTTATTTTTAAAACACTATCAGGTGAAAATGTTTTCAGGCATTATACTGCAGAATGTCTTGATTGTAAAACACTATCAGGTGAAAATGTTTTCAGGCATAGTTCTGTAGAAAGTCTTATTCCTAAACCACTATTAGGAGAAAATGTTTTCAGGCATTGCAATGTAGAAACTCTTATTTTTAAAACACTATCAGACAAAAATGTTTTCAGGCATAGTATATAAAATGTTTTATTTCTAAAACACTATGAGGTGAAAATGTTTTCAGGCATTGTAATGTAGAAACTTTTATTTTTAAAACACTATCAGGTGAAAATGTTTTCAGGCATTATACTGCAGAAAGTCTTGATTGTAAAACACTATCAGGTGAAAATGTTTTCAGGAATAGTTCTGTAGAGATTTTTTACTTCTAAAAATATTATCAGGTGAAAATGATTTCAGACAGTACCATAGAAAGTCTTATTCCTAAACCACTATCAGGATAAAATGTTTTCAGGCATTGTAATGTAGAAACTCTTATTTTTAAAACATTATCAGACAAAAATGTTTTCAGGCATAGTATATAGAATGTTTTATTTCTAAAACACTATCAGGTGAAAATGTTTTCAGGAATAGTTCTGTAGAGATTTTTTACTTCTAAAAATATTATCAGGTGAAAATGATTTCAGACAGTACCATAGAAAGTCTTATTCCTAAACCACTATCAGGAGAAAATGTTTTCAGGCATTGTAATGTAGAAACTCTTATTTTTAAAACATTATCAGACAAAAATGTTTTCAGGCATAGTATATAGAATGTTTTATTTCTAAAACACTATCAGGTGAAAATGTTTTCAGGCATTGTACTGTAGAGTCTTTTTTCTAAAAACTATCAGGTGAAAATGTTTTCAGTCATAGTTCTGTAGATTTTTACTTCTAAAAATATTATCAGGTTAAAATGATTTCAGACAGTACCATAGAAAGTCTTATTCCTAAACCACTATCAGGAGAAAATGTTTTCAGGCATTGTAATGTAGAAACTCTTATTTTTAAAACACTATCAGACAAAAATGTTTTCAGACATAGTATATAAAATGTTTTATTTCTAAAACACTATCAGGTGAAAATGTTTTCAGACAGTACTGTAGAAAGTCTTATTTTTAAAACACTATCAGACAAAAATGTTTTCAGACATAGTATATAAAATGTTTTATTTCTAAAACACTATCAGGTGAAAATGTTTTCAGGCATTGTACTGCAGAAAGTCTTGATTGTAATACACTATCAGGTAAAAATGTTTTCATGCATAGTTCTGTAGAGATTTTTACTTCTAAAAATATTATCAGGCAAAAATGTTTTCAGGCATAGTACTGTAGAAAGTTTTAATTCTAAAACACTATCAGGTGAAAATGTATTCAGTCATAGTACTGTAGAAATTTTTACTTCTATAAATCTTATCAGGTGAAAATGTTTTCAGATAGTACTGTAGAAAGTCTTATTCCTAAACCACTATCAGGAGAAAATGTTTTCAGGCATTGTAATATAGAAAGTCATTTCTAAAATACTATCAGTTAAAAATATTTTCAGGCATAGTACTATAAAAAGTCTCATTTCTAAAACATTATCAGTTGAAAATGTTTTCAAGCATAATACTGTAGAAAGTCTTATTTCTAAAACACTATCGCGTGAAAATGTTTTCAGGCATAGTACTATAGTAAGTCTTATATCTAAAATAGTAACAAGTGAACATGTTTACAGGCATAGTACTTCAGAAAGTCTTATTTCTAAAACACTATCAGGTGAAAATGTTATCAGGCATAGCACTATTATAGTTTTTTTTTTGCAATACTGTTGGGATAAATTAACAAATCTGTAGAAGTGCAAAAAAAATAATAAAAAGCAGTAACTTAGAAATGTTCATCTTTAAAACACTAGAACAGATCTGTAGGGATGTCATTCTAAAACACTGTCTGTAAAATGTTAACAAAATACAATAAGCAGAGTAACATAGAAATAAAAATGTCTAACAACACTGATGGTTATCAAAAAATCTAACAATAATAGATCATGGTTTTGCTGACTCCAAGAAACTTTTTAATACTAGGACTAGTAAATTATTATATTGTTCCAAATATACAAATATACCTCGAGGACAAGGTTGTTAGATTCCAGTATTTATTAGATATTTATCATTACATATATTTACTGAATGCTATGTGTATAATACGCTTGGGTATAATGTTTTTGTCAATGGAAGATTCATTCATTATTCTCTGTTCAACTATTAATGATTAATAAAGTTTATTTTTGTTAAGTGAACGTCTATTACCCTTTAGCTATTTAATACTTTATTGAAAAATATGTTCAACCTATCTTTTAAATCTCAAAAAGCAATAATATTAACCTGCAATAATTAGCATTTAAGATTTATATTGTTGCAAGAATATTTTAGAATCACCCTATATATAGGTATGATGATGTGATGGAAAAACTAAATGAAATATTCATGTTGAATGTCAGTTTTGTTTTGTTGTTTAAAAATTAAATAATAATAACACCTGTGTGTTGTCTGAATATTACAGTTTATCAGAAATTATTAGATCATTTCAAATAATCACAGTAACAACATGACATAACCAACAAAAAAAAAACAACCACGACAAAAGTAAGAAAGCGTGTTTATTTTTTTTATAAATCTAAATTGTCATGAATTTATATATAGAATATGATTCTCGAAAAATGTTGCCAACAGATGCAGAGATTTTTTTATAATAATACCGATGTCTGTCCATATATAACACATTTAATAATGTCAATACAATACATAAACAAATCACGTAGGCGGCAGGAATTTATTAATATTATTTATAGAAATGCAATAGTTTTAATTAAGCAATTATTAATTAACTTCAACTTGAAACTGAGAAAAATATTAAACGACATGCAAATCAAAAACAAACCGTGACAGATTTCCAGTGCCCCGATTTCAAAATAATCGATCGAATGCATTTAGGGCACTTTATATGCAAAATGGCTTCTTAAATATACATATTCTTACCAAAAATATTATGTTGAGGAATATGAAGATATACTTCATACAAGTATAACCAGCTCCCATGTTTATTAGATTTGAATTTCACAAAATAACAATTTGTTGATGCACTATAAACAAATCACGTTTTATACGCGCGTAACTCGAGCTCAAATGCTGTTTTGGGGAATGGAAACTGGGGATTGGGGAACATCTCAGCCTCAAGGTCATGAAATTTGTACGGAAATGCCCGAAGTCGTTTTGTAATCAAATTTGAATTTGAATTCATATATCAATAAATATTTCCTGTTATTGTTGTTGATATAACACAATTTTATCTTCCTTAAACTGAATGAATCAAATATTGTCGTAAACAGCAATTTTGTGAGTTAAAAATTATTTATAAAATTAGTAAAATTTCAAAACATACAGTTCAGAGAAGGAATACCAGGGTTGCCACGTCTTTTAGTAAAAAGGCTTAATAGTCGGATTCTGAGAAACCATTATATTTTTGTTCGGGTTTCTTTAAAGCTGTATGCAAATCGTCCGAGATCCAGTGAAATAGTTGAATTCCAAATTATTCGTCGCATACAACTATCAAACTGTCCACTGGTCAACTAGTCCTCTGATAGTTGTCGCAATGTATTTTTGAAGAATCCGAACAGACAATTATGGGTTCTATGATTGAACGTTTACGTTATCCGTAACGTACATGTTAGGCCGAGTTTTAACAGAAACGAGGCAAATTCGTAGGATGGAAAGTTTTTCATAACACATTACTGTTATTTTCCATCTAATTTAATAGTTTTCCATCATACGAACTTGCCTCGTTACTGTTAAAATGGCCTAACATGTACGTTACAGATAACGTAAACGTTCAATCATAGGACCCAATATATGTTCCGCCCAACAGAACCGTGGAGTCCTGGGTCTGTCCTGGTGTTAAGTGGAGATTACTCGAAGGTTCTGCAAAACCGTTGTCTATGTATGTCGAAACTTACGTGCTTTTATTCAAAAAAGCAATAACCATTATAACGCCTCTACGAAATTAAAAAAATAAATACCAACTGAACCTGGGCTGCTTTCACTTTTCATTTTTACTATTCTGGATATAAAAATATTACTATTTTAAATAATTGAAATCGATTTACATTAAAACCATATGTACTATTAAAACAAATAAGAGGGGTTCCACAATAAAAGTATAATAGACATTATAATATCGTGTAAACACCTAAAGCCGACCCTGGTCCTCTGTTACAAGCCGCTGCTTCGAGAAGTTACCAGAGAAATCGTTGCGCGCCGGCTGACTCACAGAGGAAGAATTCTCAGAGATTCTAGACCGCCAAGAAGCTACTGAAGCAGAGCTGGTTTTATATAAATAGCACGACTTTGTCTGTAGACGTTAAGTTTCAATATAAGTGTTGTATATAGTAAAGATAAATTGTAATAAATAAGTTAAAATTGTGAGTAATAATAGTGCCTAAGTATTAAATAAATTAATTAGCACGTTATAAATAAATTACGGCAGCAAACATGTTTTAGGAAGGAGTCGGTGCTGGAATCTATGGACCCAAGTCGAAAACAACGATTTCGCTAAGTCTAAGAGAATATGCAACAGTATTCCAGGCTGAACTAATAGTCATACAACACTGTACAAGAGGAATATTAAGGGTGATATTACAGAAAATGCACCACGTCTGCAACTTTGCAGATTTGCAAATATGGCGGACTTACAGATGCAAGTCAAGGATACTTAACTCTCTATAGTATCCTTGTTTGTATCTTGCATCTGTAAATCCGCCATATTTGCAGATCTGCAAAGTTTCAGACGTAGTGCATTTTCTGTAATCTCACCGTAAATCAGTATATAAGTATCAGGCAACAGTATTGTCATATCTATTCTGACAGCTAAGCAGCTCTAAAAGCAATTCTCTCACCCGAAATCAAATCACGACTGGTGAAAGACTGCCTAAAAGAGCTGGCAGAACTAAAGTAGTCAAAACAAGGTGACTTTATTAGCCTGGTGCCAGACCACGACCTAGACAACACACCAAATCCCAGAGATATCCACATAATATCTTTTGTGGATATCCAAAATACATCCACAGGATATCAGAAATATCCCGTGGATCTAATATGGATATCCAAATGTCCGTCTATATCCAGAATATAGAAGATATCCTATGGATATCCAGCAAAATATATAATGGGTATCTTCCAGACAATACAAGAAATCCCAGAGATATCCACAGAATATATTTTGTGGATATCCAATATGTCCAGTGGATCTAATATGGATATCCAAATGTCCGTCTATATCCCAGCATATAGAAGATATCTTTATTAGAGGTTCATAAGTAACCAATGATTATTGAATAACGTCGAAAGAAAATAGCAGAGATAAAAAATATTTTCAACACTCAAAATATTTTCAACACTCTGCCTTTGATTTTGCCCACTAAGGAGAAAGTCATCCTTATTATGACTCTTCAGCAATAAATGGAAATTCTCGACTCCAGTCTCTAATGGAGTCTGATTGAGATACCAATTTCGATCGAACTCAGTTACGGCGGGTTGAGCATGAGTAGATATTCAACGAGTGAAAGTGGTATCGCCATCTATACTTAGTGAGCAAAATCAAAAATTACATCTAGTGGATATCCACCATGGTTTGCGTTCGCGCCTAGACTTTGATATATTTAGTGGATGTCCATGGGATATTGAATACACCTTAAAAAAATTAATTTTAAATATCTGAACGGTACTATTAGCCTCAATGACGAGCACAATGGCGTAATTTTTTAATAATTTGCTATATAATTACTATTATTTATGGACATTTGCATGTCTATAAATTACATCTCATGGATATAAAATAGATATCCACTATCGACTGGACATTCAGTGGACATTGGGATGTCCAGTAGATATATCCAAAGGATTTGGTGTGCCGTCTGGGTATGTTTCTCTTTTGCAACTGCAACTGATATTTGCAAATGCAAGTAAGATTTGAAGAGCTTCTGTAAAGTTGCGGCCATATTTGCAGATCTGCAAAGTTGCAGATGTTCTGTAATCTCACTCTAGATCTAAAAAGGTATCAGTGGACAAGGACATAATTTTTTCAATCATTCCCTATTTAAATATGGAAGAACTAACTGTGTAAATCTACTTTGACACCAATTTTATAATAATTAGAAATATATTTATTAGTTTTCTTTTAACAATTAACTGGAATAACATGTAACCTTGGTTTCCATGATGCATATTCTAAATTTTATTAACATGAACTGTACTAAAATAATCTCTCATTGTTAATGTGGCAACGTTGCACCTCAACTAGAGGAAGTGACACTACCGTTTTAATGCGCTTGCTCCGCAAAGGACGCTACTCAAAATTGATCTCTTTCTAATTCTTTAGATAAACTGAGATACTAAATAAATGTTCTGTCAAAAATCCAAAATAAACATATTGAAAAGTAAAAGGAGAAACAAAATGGCAATACAGTTTGTTGAAATTTTTCAAACTTTCGTTAAATTTCAGAAAATATATTTATAATATTGGCTCCGTTGACCAGGAAAATATAATTAAATATAAGACCTATGTGGTAATAATTGTTATTTATTGAATTTTAATTGTTATAACAAACTGTTTATCTTTTTAGGTTTAGGTCAAATTATTAATTTCTACATCATTCTTGTTATATCTTTAAAGAATGGAAGACGAGGATTTCGATAATAAGTCTCCAGTTGGACAGCTTATTCAGCGAGTGAATAAGTTGTGTAAAAAGCCCCAAATTGATGAACAACTAAGCAATGCAAGTAATGCATAACACAATGTTAACAATGTAAATTTATGCATTCATTTTAGGCTTTGGATGTGTTTCAAGAAAAAGTAACCCGGCAAAAAGCGTATCTGAATAATGGTATATTTAATATTAATTTTGCCGAAGCAGCTCTTTTTTTACAAAGCTGTGCCCAATTGTATGGTAAAAAGATTGACCTATTTTGGGACCAAATATTGGAATTTCATACTAGGCTAATTGAATATGATTGCCGTGATCAGCAAGAAAAGTAAGTTTATTGTAATTATTTTTTGTATACTGCCAAAACCTACAGCTTAGAATAATAATAATATATACATCATTATACTGATATATCTGAGCTGAGCAATTTGGTTTCTAAAGGACCTATTTATCAGTGTTTTAAATTCCTTCCTATTTTTCCCTTTCTCTGCTTTTAGAAAATTGCATTTTAGGGTAAACATTAAAAGAAAAACAAGAGATTAAAGAAGAAAAAAATCATCTATAAATTTTGGCACAATTTTAAATGTTTTATAAATTTTGGCACAATTTTAAATGTATCTGGATATTTAAGAAAATTAAATGTGTGTCTGTTGTTAGAGTTAAGTTTCAGAGAGTTGAAAAAATTAAATATCTAGTGATTATAATTGATGCAAATGTACAATTTGAGGGGCTGTTCTCCACATCTCGGCAAATGGGCTAAAATAATAATTTATAATACTCTTATATTACCTCATTTTAATTATTGCAAAAGTTGCAAAATAAAAGTATGAGGATAATACTGAGGTGTTCCAGATTGGAACCAATCAATTCCATGTTAAATGTGTTCCAGTGGTTGCCTGTTAAATAATATTTGCTGGTCTATTCCCTGCTATTTATATTTAGGATTAAATCAGGAATCTCCTCAGTATATTTACAAAATATTTTATGTTATAAGTACAATACATGATACACAAAATAAGCAAAATTTTAGTTTATAAGGCCACGAAAAAATTAAACAAAAATTAGTTTTTTAAAAGGTGTACAGGTTTGTAATAATTTGTCTGAAGATATTAAATGCTCTTCAAACGCAGCAATATTTAAAAGAAAATTGAGTGAGTAGTTGTTGATCATTTGATGTTTTTTTTTCTTTTATTATGTTATCAGTTTACATGTACATTGACTGTATACTTATATATTTTTATATTATTTTGAATGTATGTTGACTCTATACTTATGTATTTTTTAAATTTTATTTTAAATGTAAGGATATGTATTATTTTTTTAACTAAATAAACGATTTATTTTATTTTTTTATGTGCCCACGAATGAGAAAATAGGATTTTAAAATAATATCTATGATTTTAAATGTATATTTACTGAATTGTATATTTTACCAACATCATAGCTAAATGATCTCTGATACATGGCAGTTCTGTCATGGCATGGCAATAGTATGGAAATTTTGCAAATTTAATTTATTGTACAATTTAGCCAAACATAATGGATGGATCGAAAAAAAATTATTTTGGTTATATGCAATAAAACACTCAAAAATATCAGTTCTAGGAGTTTTATTTAGTACACTCTATGTTTATACATATATAGATATAACTGGAAGTATTTTTATCAATATGAAAATTCTACCAAGTAAATTCACATGTTGTGAAAGGACCTGTATATTTCAATTTAAAATTATTTATTGTCATGTTGATAAATTATTGTTGACATTGTTGGAATATAAAGGCATAAGAGGTAATCATAATTGAATGACTTTAGTTATCAGTTTTTATAGATACAACATATTTATTATGAAAAACTGTATCTGCATTAAAAATAAACAAAATTGATGACATTATCAGTTTGATACTAATTGTAAAGGAATTCTAGATATTTAACTACAAAAAATTTAGTTGCAAATCTCAATTGAACAATAATTTATTCATTTTAACAACCATATTTTAAAATTTCCTAAAAAGAAGTATTGTTTAAATAGAGGTATGTATATCCTATGAACATGAACATTCTTACAGTATTTGTTTACCCATTGAAAATAATAAAATATTTCAAATATCTGTTAACATTAACTCTTTGATAATTGCAAAATATAGTTGGTGAATACCAAAAAATAATGTAACTAACTGATAGGCATATTGACTTAAATCTAGTTGTGATAGGAGTAAAATCATCTCTTAATTCTACTAATTTAAGCTTAAGCTGCATTTCAGTTAGCATATCTTTGTGTTATGGCATGTTGCCGGATTGTTTGGCCAACTATCCAGTAAGAACTGGATCTGAAACTTTCTCATTTTATAACCTTAAACAGTTGAATTATACTAGAAATCAAAATAATGTTCCCTTGAACTTGTTTTTTTTTCTCAAAGCTGTGAATCTATTGAATTGTTATTACCTTATAGTTATCATCATAAATTTGTTTGAAAAACTCAAAACTTAATGCTGACTACATTAGTTTAAATAATTATTTTGCACCATTCAATTGGGATCAATTTCTTGCTGTTAATGATTTAGATTCAGCTCTTCATAACTTTTACCAAATACTTAGCAATGCAATACATTGTTTTGTTCCACTTAAAAACTGAATAGTTCTAACTATCCAAAATGGTTTTCAGCGGACTTGAAGAAGCTCATTGCTGATAAAAAAATAGTGCATGCAAGATATAAATCCTCATGCAACCTTAACGATTACTGTATTTGTACACTGTAAGTTCCTATATCTAGACAATGTTATATTAATTACCTATCTCGAGTGGATAGAGCAATCTATGTTAATCAAAGTTTTTCTGGAACTATTATTAATCTTTAAAAAATGACTCTTCCTTGCCTAGCATTATTTTCTTGAATGATAAGGCAGGTGATACCTCCCAATGCATCGCTGATTTATTTTCTAATACTTACAGTCATGAAAAAGCAAACTTGTCAAATATTAATTTAAATATTAAAAACACCTTTCATATTTCTCCTATCAAGTTTTCGGTACAAGAAGTTTTAAATGGTATACTAAATCTTAACGATAAATTAAGCCATGAACCAGATGGACTTCTTTCATTTTTTCTGAAAAAATGCATTTTCACATTGACTCGTTCATTATTTTTACTATTTAATTCCTCGATAAAGTTAAATTAGTTTCCAGGCATCTGGAAAAGTGATTATTCAAGACTTGTTTATTGTGTTCTTTCAATCAACAAATTATGGCTTTATGGCTATTTTAGTTCTTTGTCAAGAAAGTTCAGAAAGGCCAATAAGTTAGATATTCATTTTCTGTCAAATAAAAAAAAAAAAACGGAAATAGATCTCAATAGGTTTGTATTATTTTAGTATGTAAATATTTGTATTATTATAGTATGTAAATATTTGGCTAGACACTGTATATTTTTCCATTGTATATTATTTATTTTTTCTATAATGGGGTTTTCCCGTATAATAAATAAATAAACTTAATTCTCTGATAGCCAGGTATCTTTTGTTGGTGAATATGGCTGTGATACTGTTTAAACTTTAGATCATATTCAATAGTCTCATACTTATGTATTTTTACTAATACCACTGCCCATGATATTAGAAACAAAAGACAATTAGATGTAATATATACAGGTGCGAAAAAAAGGCCTTTGACAAAGTTCTTACGTCATTAGTGTCATTTTTATTTTGTTAGGTTGATTGCATTGTCCTTGTATAGGCCTCTATTAAAAAAAATCCTTATTTCTATAAAAAAATATCTCTATTGATTAAAAAACATGCCTGAAACTTACATAATTTTATGTATTTCTATTAATATTTCATTGTTTGGACCCATTGCTTCTTAGAGTCCGATTACTATAAGAAGCACACGGGTACGTCATCAATTGGCGGGTAATTCTTCGACTATCACCGCCTAGTGGGCGTTTAGTAGCATGTTAATATTATAGGAACACCCTGTATATGTTTTATTCGTTTTTTTAAACTCATACTAATTCGCTAGAGCAGTGGTTCTTAAACTTTTTTGGTGACTGAACCTTTTTGAAAAGCGAAATATTTGACGGAGCCCTAAACACATTTCGATATAAAAAACAAAGGTCCTCTGAGTAAAATCATATCCTCCTTTCTCTTAGTAACTCTAAAAAAAGGCCCTCACCCCGTTTCTTCGCGGAGCCCCCACATAAAAAAAGTCCTCTAAGCAAAATCATATCTTTCTTCCTCTTGGTGACTTCTAAAAAAAAGCAAAATCATATTCTCCTTCCTCTTTGTTGACTTCTAACAAAAAAAAAGGTCCTCAATCCCTCTCTTTTGTAGAGATAGTACTGCTTTTTTCTATTATGACTATTATTTTCTTCTCGGAGCCCCATAAAGGCTTTGCGGAGCCCCAGGGCTCCGCGGACCACACTTTGAATAACGCTGCGCTATAGTATAGAGTGCACAAACCTCTACGAACCTTAATGAGTTCGCACAAACATTTACGAGCCCGCACGAATCTTAATGAGCCCATACAAACCTTGACGAGCTTGCACGAACCTTGACAAGCCAACGCGAACGTTGATGAGCCCACACGAACCTTGGCGAGCTTTGTCAGACCTTATGCAACTTAAAATTTTAATGATTCTGAACGAGATACATCAATTACTTTTATACATGGTGATTCTAAAGTTAATATCAATTTTTTAACTATAGTATGAAAATAAAGTTAACAACTTTTTCAAATAAACTTAAAAAATATAAAAAACGTTAGGATTTAGGCTTTATTTACGGTACTAGTTGTTCTATTTAAGATTCTTTTTGTGAAATGACTAATTTTTATGTATTATTTAAATTTTTAATAAAAAAAATTAAAATATTGGTAATGTAACAAATTTGTTACCTTGCTTAAGGAAATTTTTGAGAAAAATCATTATGAAGACGGGAAGGTGCTTCTTTATTATTATTTATGTGCATCTCCCTGTATATCCAGATATATCAAAATTTAAAAACAAATTTGACCTGTTCTGTATTATTTCCAAAAATCAATACTTCCCCATTTTTTTCTTGAATGCATTCCTTACTTTTAATTTACACTGTAGAAAAGTTTAATGCCGCAAACTACTTTCCTGATTTTCCCATTAAAATTCCCTCAAATTCGATCTAAAATCATATTCCCTATTTGATATCTTTATTAAACACTCTCAACTTTGATATGTTGGTAAAGATATTAAGTACGAATAAAATTTTAGGGGAAAGCAGCTCAACAATGACGTCATTCAAAAACTGGAAGAAAGAAGGAATAGATACAAGAGGAAGAAAAAATTCAAACTCACATTGGCCGAAGGCAATACCAACGTTGATGATTTCATTTTCGAGAAGGATACAGAACTTGAAGAACCCATCGCCTTCGAACCGGATGACGATCTCTACAAAGCTTGGCGCAGGATAGAGTGCGAGAGTCATGAAATAACCAAAGTTCCTAGAGCGATCGTCAAGCAGCAAAGAAGGACTTACAGGATGAAGAATTATTACATCATGAAAAATCAAGATTGGGATATTTTCGATTCCGAAGATGGTGAATTTAACACGAAGTACAGCAGAATACCGGGTTGGCACATTATTTACCATCTATTCGAATATAATACGTTGGGTTTATTGCCTGATAAGTACAACACCATAGCGACTCTTCGTCTTTGTTGTTATTTGAGAGCGCAGTTCATGCGAGATAGAAAAATACCTTTTAACGCACCCTACAGTCAGTACAAAGAAGAATATCTTGCATACAAAAAGCAGTTCTTTGAGGAAGAAGCCAAGAAATGGCAAAACATGCCTTTGGACACGATGGCCGACCTCAGGAGGCAGTTGCAGTACCTCGCTCAGAAAGAGCGCGAAGAGGAAGGTGATCCGCCCAAAAAAACTTGGGACATACCTCCGTTTATGCACAAAAGCGGGTGCGGTTATGAAGGCTGTACGGAATGTTCGGAAGATAGTAAATCGAGCATCATAACAATCGCGGATTCTGTAGATAAGGAATTCGATGATGGGTTTTTTAAAGCAGAAACAGCCAAACTTGATGTGACTGTTTCTTTAGAAAAACTATCCGCTGACATAGTTGACACGAAGCTAAGGCAGGATTCCGGATTTTTTGATCTTAGCGAAAGCGACCCATCCGATGCTTCCCAACTTGTTGACGCTAGTAAGATAGAAGATTCTACAATAAATGATCCATCGATAGTAACAGAAAAAACTGGCGAAAGTGACAAAACGACTGATTTTTCCGCTGATAAACCGAACGATAGTTCATTAGAAGCTGATAAAACCACTGATGGGACAGATGAAATAACAGATGCTTCAGCAGAAGCTAATACAGCAGCTGATGCTTCAACAGCAGGCGATAAGGTAGTTGATGCTTCAACAGCAGGTGAACAAGCAACTGTAACTTCAGCAGAAAGTGATAAAGCAATTGCAGCAGAAGGTGACAAAGCAGTCGATGCTTCAACAACAGATCCACAAGCAACTGTATCTTCAGCAGAAGGTGATAAAGCAGTTGACGCTTCAACAGCAACTGTATCTTCAACAGAAGCTGATAAAGCAACTGCAGCTTCAGCAGAAGGTGATAAAGTGATTGATGCAACAGCTGAAAATTTGATGGGTAAAGAGAATGAAGGACCAATGGATGACGATGATTTTGATACTAGGAGCATTATGAGTGATCACGATTACTGCCGGATGCCGGTTAATGTTCTTAAAGAAAATAATATGAATAAGCAGAATGTAAAGCAAACGAATGATGAGATGGTTCCCATGAGAACGAAAGTTAGGATAGTTCAGAAAGTTGTTTCACCAAAGATTCCCAAAGAAAAGAAAATTGATGTAAGTATTGGCATGCTAAAACCTTTGATTGAACTACTAAGACAATTTTTTTTTTAAATGTTTTACTTCAAATTCGTGAACCATTATTTGACTAAAAGAAACTTAAAATAGTCACAGTATTAGGTGTAAGTCGAAGTTTAAGATTTTAAAGGGGAGATTGGTACATAGTCAGTTTCAATTTTAAAAAAGTGTGAATGTCATAACTGTTTGAGTCTTCGTTATTATTTGTTCTTCATCAACAACTATGGTAATTAATTTTATTTCTGTTTGAATCTCGTTAAATTCTGTGAACAGCATTTCCAATGTAGATCTTCTGGTTTTTATCTCAAATAGTTTTGGATGTGTTTTCATCTAATCAGGCATTACAACGATCAACCTTTGACAATACTCCATTTTTCTTAAAATATTCTTTGAACCCCTTTTTTCAGCCATTATGAAGCAATAAAGACTACCAAATCAAAGCCTTTTACTTTTCTGAGGTTTAATATCTGCTGGGTCAACTTGCTAACCTTTCGATCTGATTACTTTCGTTTAGGTATTTCCTCTGTGACAAAAATTATTTACAACGCAGTAAGTATCCGGCTCGAAGGTGTTTCAACTTATTGTGAATTTTCTGTTTTAAAAACATAATATGTGAATAACATTCTCTTTTAGAATACTCTAATGGGCCCACCGCCACCAAAAATAAGAAAATTGTCTATAAAGCAAATGGAAAAACTATCTAAAAGCAAAATAAAACCGGTAAAGGAAATGAAATTCGAAAAATTCTTCTCCATGAATTACCAACCTCAATTAGGAGAAGGTAAATATAAATAGTCAATGGGTGGACTGCAAAAAATCGAAAGGACATACTATTTTAGGTTGAATTGAAACAAATTATATTAAATCATTAATTGCTAAACCTTTGATGAGTTGCTTTGGTTTTACGCTTGATTGCTACATTTTTTGAGTTAGTGTAAACAAGAGCAAACCTATTTATTATTAAAGAAGAGGTGTCCGCTTTCATTTGACATTAATTGCATAAAACGCGCAATTAATCGTACGTTTTGTATAAATACATCTGTCCACATTTAGACACTAACGAATTATAAAACAAGCTGGTCCTGTCAAATATCAAAATTAAACGAATTATTTAATTGTAGAACGAATACAAGTCAGTCAATGGCAACGCGAAATCCAACTAATAAGCTTACTCTGTACCTGAGTTTTTCACATTTTAAGCATCACCATGTATTAAATTAAGTAGAAAAATGGCAATTACACATTTTAAATACTGTCAAAAGAGTAATCAAAGTTTAACGTTCAATGTTCTTCAAGTGAATAAAATTTGTTTAATGTGTTTAAACCAGCGCGTTTCATTCCACATTGATATTTTATGAAGATAAGAAAAATATGATTAATTTATAATATAAAGGGTGAAATCATTGTCTGGTTTGTTGTTTAGCAATTAATAACTAATAATTTTTTCATTTCAGCCTAAAATAAATGGATCGTTTAACGACTTAAATAACATTTATTCCCTTATTATTTCAGGAGACATTCGAGTTGTCGAATATGAGTCTGATGAAGAAGTCGAACCTGAACAAGTGCTGGCGCCCGATGATGACGTTCGTTCCATCGTTTCCGACCACAACTATTCCCAATTACCCGATATCGAGAATATTCCTATTAACGATTCAGGTTTCGTTGATGAAACTATTGATAAAACTCCTTCCACTGCTACTGCTCCCGCTGAAAGGTAAATATAATCGTTATCTGACGCGACTCTCAATTTTATTATTTTAACTTCATCAGGGCAGTACTTTCTGTCAATCGGTGACGCCATGGTCGTTTTGTCGTCGTGGTCGTCAGTTGTCGCGAATTTATTGCATAAAATGTTTTAAATATAGTACAGAAGAGAGCGGGGTAGCCGACGAAGGTGACGGCGATGCCGATCATGATACGCCGCCGGAAAACGACGAAGAAACGCCGATGGAAAATAGATTTCCCGAGGAAAGGCGAGCCGTAGATCCGGAATATCAAGCCGAATATGAAAGATTACTAGCGCAATTGCGAGAATCCAGGAGGCAGCTGGGCGAAGAGTTGACGATAGATCCGGAACGTAAGTATCGATTATTTACACTTGTATTAAAATACATGTAGATATTAAAGCGTACCAATATTTCGGGTTTTTTAGGTGGTTGTAAACATGTTGTAGCTTTTTTGCTGCGGCTTCATAGAAGTAGTGAGGAACCATCTGTAACATATTCTCAGTGTTATTGGAAAGGCTCTAATTTATCAAAATGCATGAAATATTGATGTAGACTTGGCTAGATTGTTAAAGAAACCTCTTCATCCACTACAGGAAAATAAATCAGTAGTGGAACATGTCTTGAGTATGTTTTCTGAAAATCAAGGCAGCATGTTTATGTTATTGCAACCGAGAAATAATAACCCTTCTATTCACTGCCTTTTGGTAAATTTTTTGGAAAACCACAAAAATAATGCATCTGTAGAACATTTCTTGACCTTTGCAAAAGCACCCTGTATTATTTAAAAATAGCAATTTTTTTAGTAAAGTTTTAAAATATTTCAAGTCTAAAAATATCCTAAAAATGGGGTGTGGTTTTTAGAAAAAAAGCTTTAAAAAACCGAATTGCTCTGCTGGCTTCTTTCGAAGGTTAGCAAGCACCATGTATTTTTTTAAAATATAATTTTTTTTTTTTTTTTTTTTTTTTTTTTTTTCGAAAAAATTGATAATATTTCAAGTGCATAAAAATATGGTGTTGCTGTTTTTGCAGAAAAAACTTAAAAAAAAAACAGGTGTTCTACTGACTTCGTTCGAAGGTATCAGAGCATTTTGATTTTTGCAGAAAACGAGCATAACATTTTTGAAAAGGATATAAAAATAGCCTAAAAATATGGCATAGGTTGTAACTAAAAATTTCATAGGTGCTCTACAGCATTCTTTTGCATCATAATTATTACTAGGTTCACTAACAAAATCTATTTCTAGATCATTTTAACACTTGCTGCGATTACAAAAAATGTCTTTATATGTCAAAATTAGAAAAAAATATTTATAGGAATAAAGGACGTTATACATTGTTTATTATGTGATATAAAAACAAAAAAAACATAATAAATATTACAAACCTTGAGATGCAGCATATCCTAAGCATTGTGCACTAAAAATTTCATTTTTGTTAATTACAACAACCACATCATAAGGTTTTTCCCGTACTTTATGTTCAGGTGTAATTTGTCCATTTACTGTGCAAGTATCTCCTTCTCCCTTAAGTTGTACATGGAAAAAGGCATTATCTCCATATTCTTGCTTGGCAGATCTAAAAATAAAATATTATTTAATAAAGTGGTTAATTTTTTAGTATTTTCAAGAGCCCTACTCTTAACATTTGGCCTAATTATCAGATATTTTTACAAATTTTTATTATTTTTCTGTGTTCCAAATTATTTCATAAAACATATTGTGTTCTTATTATCTCAATTTACAAATATTATCATAGATTTATCCATGTAAACATTAGACATGTGTACAATAAATGTAAAAGAGTGTATGTACCATTACAAAAAGTAGTTATGCATATACAAAAATGTACTTAAATTACAATATTATTTACAATAATAAGTAGGTAATTTTCAACCAAATAAAAACAGTATTCCAGTAAATACTTGCGCCCTACCCTTCTAAATACATTTTTAGACGTTATTTAGTTTTAATTTTTGAGGTAAACATAATAAATTTTAATGTTTAAGAATCCATAAGAGTCCTGTTTTTGATAATCTAAATTTAAGCAAAAACAACCAAGGGTCAAAATGTATAAACTCGCTTTATACAATAACAAATTTGCTATTTCTCAGGTACTTAATACGTAATTATGTTTTTACTTCTAAGTACTGAAATAATTTACTGTCTACCGGTAGCAAAACTTTAAACGTCGCTCTCTCACTCTACTTCAAGGTATAGATATATCCTTTCAGTTTCTAGTGTTATATTTTTGGATATCGATGTACGCTGATATATTATGGGAAAAATATTGTTTTCTTATACATATTAATGAGGGTATTCCAAAATATAACAGGGTGGTAAAAGGTATATTTTTGAAAAAAAAAAAACTGTTAGTGTTCGATAATCCTAATGCCCTGAGATAAATATTTTGTTTACTATAAGGTGTATTAACCCATATAAACTACTATTAAAACAAATTATAAATAAAGTTTTACATACCTTTCTGTCTTAACCGGCTTAACTTTGGCACTTATGCAGTAGTCATATCTTGGTCTAAAATGGGTAAAACACTTGAATCAGCTTTTATAAATCCAGCTAACAAACTCATATTAATAATAAAATTAAACCAATTGGCAAAGACAAAAGATAAAAATCGAGAATTGAGAAAACAACAACAACAACAACAACAACAACAACAACAACAACAACAACAACAACAACAACAACAAATGTTAGGTTAGGTGGTGTCAATTTTAAGTGTAACTAAGATGTGCGTTCACTTCGACATTCCGCGTGAAGTTTTTTCGTTGGCTTGGTTTTGTATAACAAAAAAAACTTCGATACAAGCTGATTGGTCTATTCCCGGTGACGCACACATTTCAAATTTTAAATTTAAATTGGGCTTAATTTAAAAACTTTTGGCTTTTTTAACGAACTGATTATTTAGAATAACTTGTATAGCGACTAACTATTTACAATATAATTTATAAAACAGCATATCTCACATGTAAACATGGCCCATTTCGCGTAGGATTTCACAATAGTATTTCGGTAAAATTTTTAAAAGATGGAAAGGATGAAGCCAAACCAAAATAAACTTGAAATAAATCCACATGATCTGCCAGATTTCGAATCTTCAATATCTATTTACCGTGCTATCCCTTAACCTCTCGATTATCAGCATGTGGTTTTTTTCAAATTTTCTTTGACATTTTTTAAAACGCATTTTTAACTTTCCTTTTATCGCTATCGATGTGTTAAGGAACGGCAACGGAGCGACAACTCAAGGAACAAGAAAGGAAGGATGCTAAAACTCGAGTGCAGCAATGGAGAGATACAATAACCCCTATTCTAAGGGATTTGAACGAGAACGATTTCGACATTCACGAGTACGGCAGTAAGGTCATGGAAGGTATGGAAGTAGAAGAAAGTAAACCATTCAAAACGATCATCGATGGTAAATCTACCGTGGAGGTTGTTCGGTAAGTTTAGTGGATTAAGGATTTAGGTTCGTATTTGTAAATTGGAAGTTCGGGAAAAGATTTTAAATTTAGTTAGAGATTGACAGTAACAATATCGTTTTTGTTACATTTACAGATTATAAATACGGACTTTAAATGGTATTTTGTTGATACAAAACTATTTTTAACTACAAGTTTCTTTCTGAACGATTTTTCTGACTTTGTTAAATCGTACTTTTCTAAATTTTAATAGCAAACTTCTTGTTAAAGATCGAATTTGTATTAATTTTACAATTAATATGCCTCTAGTGCAGAAAAATGAATGGGAAATGGTAGTTTTGAGAAATTAAATTATTAATATTTAATTAATAAATTTGGATCATTTGTGAGTTGGGGATTATATCATTTGTCTGCACTTTGATATTTTGGCTATTCTGAGAGGAATGCTGTACTGTTGAACTATTTTGTTCTGTTATTGTTTATACACTTGCATAAAGGACCGATATGTTCTTTTTTTATATAAATAACTTCAAAAAAATCGATATTTTTTCACTTTGGATCAAATTAAACTTGTACAGTCACAGAAGAGGGAACAATACAGAAAAGAAACATATGCCTAGTTTCAGAGATACTCTGAGAAAACGTATCTTTTCACCGTATTCCTAGCTCTGTGGTGTACTGTGAAAAGATATGTTTTCTCAAAGTATCTCTTCTTTTCTGTATTGTTTTCTATTCTGGGGTACAGTTTTTAACCATTAATAACTTTTTAGTTACATTTATTTAATTATTTTTTTGAAAGGCAGGTGGATTAGTACACTCTTTCTGTCATGTCCAATTTTGGTTAAGACATGACGTCTTTTTCTAAAACGCTTCATTTAACCTCATTAAAAATAATTGTTCCATAGGTCGAAAATGCTTCAGTAAAAGTTGAACTGTTAACAACTTTAGAATTAAAGAATTATAATTATTTTTGTTATAACGAGCTCCCTAAGTCATTATTTTATATGGGGAACTTTTTTATCTATTTAGCTTTTAAAATTAGTTCAAGATGTTACCATGGTTACTAAATTTCTGTCGAAAAGTTAGCATCAAATTTGTCAAAATTATGTCTCCATTATTTAATTTCATCGCGGACTTCAGAATCTCTAGACTACAGGTCATGTCAAATTTTTGATCTGTTATATACGCCGTCATGTTGGGTCAAATCCCGTAATATTAATGTTAATTCCCTTCAAAAGGCTTGTATAAGGAGCTTATGTAAAATGATATCGAGGACCCTGCAGTTTCCTTGTGGAAAATGGTTTTCTTTCGAATCTGTTGCAGTTTTTGACCTTCTAAATAAAAGTGTTCTTGGATACAAAGTTATGTATATTTCGACTTTATATAACTATTTACTCTCCCTGTATGTGATATACTTTTGTTAATGTGATGTACTTGTTTGGGTCACATTACGATATACAGGATATAATGTAAAATAGTGACACAAGAATAAATTTTTATTTCAATTACTTAGAACTCGGAAAAGTGGATTATTCCTACATGGAACTAGGAAAAATCGATTTTCTAGATTTAATCTTCAGAAAAGTGGATTATTTCGACATGGAACTCGAAAAAAATCGATTTTCCTGATTTAGTATTCGGAAAAGTGGATTATTCCGAACTAGAACTCGAAAAAAAATCGATTGTTGTGACTTATAATTCAAAAAAGTGGAATATTCCGATCAGGTACTCGAAAAAAACAATTTTTCTGACTTAGAATTCGGAAAAGTGTATTATTCTGACCTAGAACTTGAAAAAAAATAGAACTCGGAAAAATGGATTATTCCGACCTGGAATTTGTAAAAAATCGATTATTCTGGCTTATAATTCGAAATGTGGATTATTCCAATGTAGAACAGGGAAAAAACGATTTTTCTGACTTAGAATTCGCAAAAGTGGATTATTCCAACATGGAACTCAGAAAAGTGGATTATTCCTACATGGAACTCGGAAAAATGGATTTTCCTGATTTAGTACTGAGAAAAGTGAATTATTTCGACATGGAACTCGAAAAAATCGATTTTCCTGATTTAGTACTCGGAAAAGTGGATTATTCCAACCTAGAATTTGTGTAAAAAATCGAGTATTCTAACTTGTAATTAGAAAATCAGGATTATTCTGATTTAGAACTCGGAAAAAAAATGATTTTTCTGACTTAGAACTCGTAAAAGTGGATTATTTCAACATAGAACTCGGAAAAGTCGATTTTCCTGATTTAGTCCTCGGAAAAGCGGATTATTTCAATCTAGAACTCGAAAAAAATCGATTATTCTGACTTATAACTCGGAAAAGTTGATTAATCCGATCTAGAACTAAAAAAAAATATATTTCAAAAAAATGGATTATTCCGATCAGGAACTCGAAAAAATAATTATAAAGTTTACAAAGTAAGAATATTAAGACAAACATTCTTGTTTAAAGTTCATTAAATTATTTTTTACACCTGGGTGATGAACCTGTATGTGCATATTACAAGATTGTTTATATCATTCACTTTTACTTAGCAATTTAAGAGTTAATTTATAATGTTAATAATTAAAAACTAAAAGCTGAGAACTAAAAAGAACCGGTAATGATAATTTAAATGCAAATAATTCATTATGAAATAGAACATTACAGTAATGCTAAGCCATGAAATAAATTTTGGTGTTAAATTTCTGTATACCCACTGAGATTTTGAAGATTTTTGAAGTTTTCCACAAAAAAGTTGGACAATACAAACAATTGGTGCAAATTTGTTGAAAGTTACCTATGATAACCCCATGTTACTATTTTTTAAAACCAACTGAATAAAAAAATTTCCCAATAAACCTCGATATAAAGGCCCATCATTTTACAAAAATAATCATAACTTCTGAATTTCAAAATTGTTACCAGTTTCGCTTTTACTGAAACATTTCTAATAGTATTAGCTATATTTTAGGTAAATCTGCTTTCTTTTGCAACGATGTTAAATGCAACATTTTTGAAAAAGTCTAGTTCTGTCTTCAAATTTTCAACCAAAATTAGACATAAGAGAAATAATATACCAGCCCTCTTGTCTTAAAAAAACTAATTAAATAGGTGCAACAGGTAAAAAGTAAGAAATGTTAAAAACTGTACAAGTTTAATTTGGTTTACAGTGTTATATTTTAACGATATTACATTTTTAGTAATGTAACGAAAGTATCTGTTATTAAAAATGGTATGGATGTAGATTTTTATCTCTAAAGGTCCTGTGAGTAGCAATTTTCATTTTTATATTTGTAATTTAGGCGCCACACAATTTTTATGACACAATTCATTAAATTTTTTCTGTTTCAATTAATACTTAAATACCATCTTACTAGCATTATTTAAAAGAAAATCGATATTTTGGAAGTTATTTATAATAAAAATGAATTTAGGTTCTTTAGTAAGATTGAGTAGTATACTGAAAGTATATCTGCATGTAAAATGTAATTAAATCCAGTAGCCATGAAGCGACTGGAACTGCAAAGTTGGATAGTGATATATTTCGTTTTAAAATGAAGTTTAAACTACAGTTTAAACCTAGTTTGAATAATAACTGAAATGGTTATACTATAAAATTAAATATTTGAATTTTTGTTGAATTAAAAAAAGTTTTTCGTTTCAAAAGACAACTGCCAGAGGCATAAACAAACGTGTTTATAGATAGATGATGTATAATTTTCACCAAAATGTAAATATTTGTTCACAGAACTAACACTTGAAGAGAGCGCGGCGAATGCTGGTCAAAAGAACCTTGTTATGCAGTTTTTATATAGATTTATCTGACTACCAGTGGCGACTCGTGAGCAAAAAATTGGGGGTTCAAAATGAGAGAATATAGATCTCAGTGCAGATTTAGGTAAAAAACTTTCAGTTTTTATAATACACTTTTCCAAAATACTGAAAGCTTTTTACCTAGATTTGTACTGAGACCTATATTCTCTCATCGTGAACCAAAACTTTTTTGATCCAGCCGCCACTACTGCAGCTGACTACTATCCTGGATGTATCAGTTTACTTGTTTGACTACCAATGTTCTTTTGAACCCATTCCATTGGTTCGATTCTTACACTTTACTTGAGCAGTATGTATAAAATTAAATCTATTTAATTATTCATGATATTAACCATTCTTCTTTAATTAATATAAAAAAATCTGCCATTAAACTGTTACAGATTAATCATTATTTTATATTTAAAAGGTACATGATACATAATAACTAGAATTTTTTTTTATTTTGCAAAACTATAATTTTGTTACTGAAAAATGTATAGTTTGACGTAGGAGGGCCAAATTGGTCAACGGACAAAAGGTCAAGAAAACGACAATGGCGGGCCGCATAATTATCAACACCCGGTTGTCGGATTTCAGAGTGTTAATAAATCAATAAAATTTCATAAAAAATATGCCTCATCTGGTTATCAGATGGGTGAAGGTCTCCTCTACTACTATTACATAGTGAATCTTCTTTTAACTGTGTTAAAGTAAACATCTTTTTCAAATAAATTTTTTCAAAAAACACAAAAATAAGAACTATACAGAATATAAAATACAAAGCCATAACTGGACTTGTGTATGAAAAGTAAAGCTAAATAAGAAGTCTAAATATTTATTTTACTTTTTTTTTGGTATTTTTTTATGAATCGCGCATTTTTAATTGTAGATTAAATATTTGGCGGATGATGCGTTTTTGAGAGATGAAAATTCTGTCATCCATATTCACAAATCATCTATGACACTTTGAATGTGAAATTCAAATAAGTAAGGATATGTTTTCTCAACTCATTGGGTAATATTTTTATAAAAAATCTGATGACTTTCCTATCTTTAAAATTTGGTGTTTTTTCTTTATCCGTTTTTGAGTTTTCTTCAAAATTCGAGATTTACATTTTTCTCAAATATCTCAAATACGGTCCATTTTAGAGAAATTATGTATGGGACAAGAATTATAGCGAATTATATCATAAACAACTTTTATTTAAATAATTTTCATAAAAATTTGTTTTTTTTTTAATTTTTTCAAATTTCACGAATACGGACCATTCTCGGAAAATTTTCTATATGACAAAAATTATGGAGAATAATATTAGAAGTAACTTTTATTTGAAGAATTTTCTTCACCAAACGTAAATAACAGATATATTCCATAAAATATAAAAATGACCCCTATAAAGTAACCCCAGATGTTCTGACTCTGCTCAAAATCACCTCAGGCCGGAATACAGATAGGAAAGTAAAAAAAAAGTAAAGTGTAAGCGATTGTAAACCAATTAATAATCCTCGAAAATCACAAACTTAGCTTTAGTCAAAAGATAACCGGCCATTTTATTGAGAAATTCTTCCATTGTTTCACTAGCCAACTTTGCAGGGAAATACCGACTGATGCGAACAGTAAGTATGTTTGTAGGTATTTCATTGCGTCCTTGCAACTGGCGAATACCTACAACATCGAAATATGCGGCGCCAAGAAGGGCGAACTATCCAACGAGTCGTTCAACGTTAAATTGTTGAAAAAGGACAGATACCACGAACATTTGGCCGAGTACCACGCGCCCTCCGAAGAGGATTTCCGAAAAAAATTGAAAAGACTCAGAGAGATGCAAAGCAGACAAGTAAGCAAATAAATTTGTTGTATTTCTATACCGTATTAAAAAAAATTGACTTACTTCAATGCCAACGTGCTAAAAACAACGATTTTTTATAGAATGAAGATGAGTACGATGAAGAACCACTTTCAAAGCGACAAAGCGTCGAAAACTCGAATAAAAGAAAGATACAATCGCACAACACCTCTTCCACGCCAAGTACATCTCAAGTTCCCTCCACTTCTGATACGCCCAAAAGATACTCAGCCAAGCGCTCGAAGAACACCTCAAACGCCGCCCCGAATCCCGTCAAAGGGAAAAACATCGTGGTAAAACTGACTCCGGTCGTTTTTCACGATACGCCCTCCACGTCCCGATCGCCGTTCGGCGTTTGCGAAACCTCCGAGCAATTTTGCGAGGAGCTGGCTATCGCGCAGGCCGAAAACCCCGAGAGGTTCTCGACACCGCAAACGCAGCGGCCGCTCAGGTCTTTGGAGCCCATCGACTCCAATGTTCGTTTACAATTTTAGTAGTGATTTTTATTCAGGGTTTTGTAGATACTCGGGATGTCTATCGAATTTGAATTTCAGTATACGCAGATACATATCAGTTCAGTTTTTTTAAATTCAGGGTGGATTTGACAGTCGAATATTGCTCACTCTGTATAGTAATAATTACACTGTTGAAGGTTCTTTTTCTTCTCAAACCGACCACTAAAAATTGTAATGTTGCGACGTCGCTTTCTTTTTCTGAAATATATAGGGTATGATCTGATATTAACCAACCACTAACCAGGATTTTTTGACAGCGGTTCCTGAACAAATCTAATTTGTAGGTTACTTTAGGCGTTTTCGGAAACTTACTTGGATCAGAAAGATTATAGATCTAATTTTTCGTTTACTTAAGGTTACTAACACTATCTGTGTTCGAAAACTAGTAGATTACTGATCCAGTTTTATGATCGGGATCAATATTTTGTAATCCACTTTGCGAGTAGATTAGTAATAGATCCACATGCGCACCACAGGATTTTATAAAGGGATAACGCAATTTTTTGATGTCTGGTGTCGGCCAGTAGTAGCTTTGAAGGTTTTTCTACATTTAATTACTTATAACTTGCAATGTTTATGCCCATATTGCGATTTTACTAACCAGATTTCAAATGTTTAATTAAAATGATTCGTTAACAAATAAGGGTTGACAGTTACGCGGAAAAAGTTAAAGATTGGTAAACGTTAATAAACTGTCGGCACTAAGTTCAGTGATCCACGTGATCCACCGGGTAAACCCAGTATTCTGGATTTATCTATAGTAGGATTCCGAAAACGCCTATTTGGATCACGGCCAAAAGTTGCGTCACTTTTGTGACAGATTTACATTCGACTTAATGGTAACCGTAAAATATACCGGTTAGTGAATTGACGTTTGAGTCACCATTTTCAGGTAACCGCGTTCCTAATTTAATCAGTTTTTCAGTGTGATTAGTTTTGAGCAACCGATATTTCGGTTAATAACGAACCATATAATTAGTGAAATGTCATTTATATTTCAAATTTAACCAATCAAAAGATGAGTATTTGCAATTCTTAAATAAGGTTGAATCAGACCCAGGTATTTAAAATGGACTGTAGTTTGAGACATACCTGTTGACTTCCTGATATGTGCTGGTTGCTTGAAAGTGTGGTTGTATTCAAATTCACCTAATACTGAACAATGCTGTATTAATGAACTTTTAAAATAGTGTTTTTTTATGCAAAACATGGTTCACACAATTATGTATTGGCTTCTTAGCAAAAGCTGTGTATGAGAGCTCCTTTCTTATCAAAGGTGTATAGTAGACTGGGCCAAAAAAATAAAACAATTTTTTTTCTTAGCGGAACTATGAAAATATTGTTCATGACGACAAAAAAAATTTTTCCTGAAAGTTTGAGCCCTTAATAATAATATTAAGAGGTGCATCATTGCAGTTATTGATTTTTCAACAGTTGTCGCGTTCTTTCATAAATTTCGGACTTGGTCAATTTTAAAAAAAATTTTCATCTCTTATCCTTGTAGGAAATTAAATTCCCCACAACAAAGCTCTCTTAGTAAATTTTCGTAAGACGAGTCTATTCTTTGTAATCTTAATATTTAAGTTCATTTTGGAAATCCCAAATGCAAAGTGAAAAATTGAAAATATATACCAATGTTTAAGGCTCGATTACAAAGAATAGACTCGTCTTACGAAAATTTACTAAGAGAGCTTTTTTGTGGGAAATTTAATTTCCTACAAGGATAAGAGATGAAAATTTTTTTTAAAATTGACCAAGTCCGAAATTTATGCAAAAACGCGACAACTGTTGAAAAATCAATAACTGCAATGATGCACCTCTTAATATTATTATTAAGGGCCAAAACTTTCAGGAAATTTTTTTTTGTCGTCATGAACAATATTTTCATAGTTCCGCTAAGAAAAAAAATTGTTTTATTTTTTTGGCACAGTCTAGTGTATTCGCGATTCAAGCTAAGTGATACGCCCTCTGGAGGAAATTTGTAGAAGGTCCGTATAAGTAGGATATCGTTCACTGTTGCCAGAATTAGCAAAACTTCGCTACGTCGTCGGATTTTAGCTCTTGAAGAAGTGGATAAGACCTTTTATTTAAGAATCAAAATTCGTGTATGGTAATATGTTATCATACTCTATTTATTTAAGGATTTTTTTTATAAAATCCATTTATTATATTGATTTTTTTTTTATATTTCAATTCATTTATTAATTTTGTTTTAAAATCAGTTCGAGTAAGTGTTCTGTGATCAGTTCATCATTTGACAACATTGGCGTTCGTGTTCATTGTTTACATTTTAATTTGTATCAGTTACAATTCGAGTTTTTTCCTACTTTTAAGCTTTAAATTTGTTTATTTCTTATAGCGTGTGATAGTGTTTATATTAAAAATGAAATCTGCGAAAAAGTCCCCAGAAAATTGATATCTATATGGTGTTAATGTCAAAATCAAAACTGAAGTATTCATATTTTTTACAAGTACAAGTCGTAAAATTTTGTTTTTTACGATAAATGGATATCTACAAATTCACAATATTGAAATTTTACAAAACTTTGTTTAGAATCAAACTGTAATCTTATTTTTTGACGGTTTTATAACCATTTACATGTAGACAAAGTACTACATGATTCACTTCATAATATAAGAATAAGTCTAGTAAGATTTTTAAATAAGTTCATCCATAATAAACGTGTGGTACCTGAAATGTCCTTTAAACCACATAATAAAACATGTCCTGGGTTTAGTGAATACATATTTCTAGATGTTCTTGTAGCAACCAATAAGTGAATATTTCCAACAAATTAACTCATACACATGGTAAATATTATATTTATGACGAAGCACGAGACTTAAACTTAAATTAACACGAAATGAAACTCAAAAACACTATTACAATGAGAATATTATCTAAAAACAGTTAAAAAAATCACAAATACAAAATCCGCCCAAAACAGAAACATGTAAATAAACAAACATCCTACTTATAGATGACAAATGACAGGCGCGCGAAAAATTAATTTGAATCGCCAATAGGCTCCAATCTAAAAAAAATGAAAAATGCAACTGTATTGTTTTTAATTGACTGACCAATCATCTTTTTAAGTGGTAGCATCGTTTTTCTTATGTATCACAAGGGGGTGAAGTAATCGCTTTGTCGTATTCAGCAGTGTAGAGCAATGCTACAGGGGTGACGTAAGGTGTCAGTGTTGAATGTATCTCAATAGTAATAATAATATATTTATTTTCGGATTTCACACAATTTACAGGGTGTCCCATTAGTGCGCAGTTCAATATTTCAATTTATATTATAGACACGCAATTAAGTTTCAAATAAAAGTTATATGGATTTGAAAAATTGGTATTTTAAAAATATTTTTTGGCTTACAGGGTGTTGCGTTTTTGTCTGACAAATAAAGATGTATATTTTTTAAATAGAACACCCGATAATGTTTGGTAATACTGTATTCAACCCTAGAATGTTTTTAAAAAATATTACAAGGCTGCCAAGCAATTAATTTTTTATGAAATTAGAGTATGATGCTGGCCCCAACTTAAATTATCATAATTTAGGTAGGTTTACAATGATTTCAAAATTGTTTATAATGCAGACTCATAAGATACTAAGCTAACGAATAGTGGTGTTATAACGGGTTTATTTTATACAAAGTGTTTTTAAACATGTCATAAATATGGCTGATTTTAAATTCAATTTACTCCATTTTTTCAAATGCAACACCCTGTATATTAATTAAGCCTAACATTCTTTATACATTTGCGTATCCAATGATACCAACAGGTTAGCCAAAAACACATATACAGGGTGTTAAAGTTATCTTTTTCTACCTCACTAAAAATGTTTTTCATTTTTTTTTAATTTGTCTTCGCCCAACCCAAAAAAGTTATGAATTTTTCAAGAAAAACGGCTTTATTCTTGAGTAAAGCTCATATTTTTTGACAAACCTCGTATACCACTGAAAAAATTTGATATTTGATGGCTATATTCTAGGTTTTAGATAATGCAGAACTTTTGAACAAGAATAACTTTTTTTCCTGAAATTAATAATGAATCCAACTTAGGGGGACACACTGTATATAATAATAAAACAAAGGAAAAGAGAAACGCAATTTTTCTGAAATATGAAAATGAATAATCTCCAATCCCCCCTACGAAATTATTAAGTGAGAAATTAAAAAAGAAAAAATGAATACTAATAATTTCTTTCTTTAATTCACAACTTTTTCAATTTTTCTTTGTTTTTTCACTTTGAGGATACGGGGGTGCATTTTTCATAATTTTGTAGGGAGAATTGGAGATTATTAATTTTTATATCTCCTAAAATTGCATCAAATTTTTGGAATATTTTTTTCATTTTATGAAAAGAGAAAAACTTAAAGTCCGTGTTATAGAAATATCTATCGACCCTTTTCTTCCTAAAAACTACTACGACTAATACCGCAACAAGCATTGCGTTATATCAAAATAAAAATAGTAAAGATAAAAAATAATTTTCAATACTCTTACTTTGATTTTGATTCCTAAAGAGAACATCATTCTTGGACCGGTTTCGTCCTTATTGGAATTCATCAGCAAGACGTATACATTCTCGATTCCAGTCTCTAATGAAACCTGTAGAGACGTTAAACGTCATAAAGTTAAGCCATCTACACTTAATAAGCAAAATAAAGGCTCACTATGGTATCCAGTATCATTAATTGTAGAATAAATAAAAAAAGAAAATGTCGGATTTTGAAAAATTGATAATTTTTCTCAAACAACAGAGATATTTCATAGAACAATATACTTAAAATAAAATTTCGTATTTTCAAAAATGATTATTTCCAACAAAAAAACGTCAAATTTGGTAAAATTTTGAAAAAGTTTTAGGTATTTAAAAAAAGTAATTTTTTTCATTAGAGACTAAACTCGAGATTGTCTAATTTTTGCTGATGAATCCTAATAAGGCCGAAACGTCCAAGAATGACGTTCTCCTTAGAAATCAAAATCTAAGGTATAATGTTGAAAATTATTTTTTCTTGAATAATTTGAAAATTCGGAAACACATTTAAAAAATCTCCCTACAAATTATTATGACCATCCCTGAACCCCAAATACTTGGAGATTTTTAAATTTTACATTTTTACCGTCCAATGTTCCTCACATCCTAACTGAATGTGTAGCACTCCAGAATCCAAGGGCACTATATCTAGGAGGATATCAAATAGAAGAGGGAGATTTACCTAACTTGAAGCCACTTCAAATCCTACATTTCCTTGAGAAAATAGGATTGGAAGGGTCGCTATAGACATTGAGACATTTCCTTAGTGCAGTGGCGACAGAAGGGGGCACAATAGATCTTTTAGGTCGCAGTGTATTAACACCCCATTCTCAACATAACATAACATCTCTAGAATATTATCCTCTAGGTACTGAACGATAACATTTCAGGTTCTTACATCAGACTTCCTGTTAGTGGCTCCCTAGGCAACAGATCTTTCTTATCCAGAATAAGCTTGACACGGTCTTTCCTCAAAGCTTTCAAATTTAACGGTTGCTTGTCTGCCGCCATAATACTTCCACTCGCCAACTATGAACCAATTCAAACCGAATTTAAATTTCACTGTTATATGGTCTGGGCCCATAACCTGTAGAATATTACCAGACTACTTCTAGGTTCATTTAAACATTCTTCTATTCGAAATATCGTTTATTGTTCGATGAAAATAATATATAAAAAACAGGAAGTGTTCAGAGTTACAAATAGTGGATTTTATTTGTTGCACTAGGTGTAAGTTTTTTGCACTAATCGCATTTGATTTGTTCATTGTAGCTTCAAATATTTGACAGTAGCACATGTGTAGCATATACTTTGACAATTGTGACAATTCGAATACAGTGTCGAATGTAACACTAGTGCAACAAATAAAATCCACTAAAAGCTTGTTCACAAAAACTGACAGTTGACAAGTGTACCAACTAAAGAATACAAAGTATAACTAATAAATTGTAATAGAACTGCTTTGGTGTAGAATTTCACTAGTTCAATAACAAATACTTGGTGATTTGAAAAAAATACTGAAATAATTTCATTTTCTACACTAGTAACTTGTACATAACAACTTTTATACTGAGTGTTTTCATAACAATGAATTTAAAAAGAAAATGAACAGCAAATACGCGATGAATGATCAAATAACTAAATGTACCGCTTTATATGATAAAAATGACATATTACAGCACATAACCTCAAAAATTATATTAATTAATATTATACACAGTGAAAAATGTCAAATTTCCATAGCAATCTTGAATTTAAAAAGAAACTGAACCACATATACGCGATAAATGATCTAATAGCTCAATCTAACGGTATTTACGACCCACTATAAGAAATCTAATGTTCTGAGTGTATTCTTTTTTTCTATATCGATAAACAAGGACACAAATATACTCGGTACGTACTGCTAGTGCCAGTGGAAAACGTCATAAGAAATTGATGGTAAAAATAAATTTCTTTTAATGAAAAGTTTTCGTGTAAACTACATAAATGTACAAAAATATATTTGAAATGGTGGTATTTGGTAGACATTCTCGAATACTGGTAGTAGTTTAGTTAGTGTATTATTTCGTTTTTAAACGGTGTAATATAAGTTAATTTT